TGGGAATCATGTGAAGGACTACTCTGGGATCTAAACACTGACCTTTCCTCAGGGTCCTCTTCCGGATGAAACAAAAATAAACCACAAGAAAAAGCTCTGTTCTTTGCCCAGTACACATCAATGGAAATGTGAATGGCAGGATCGGTGGTCAAAGGGAGGCAGTTGGGCTCTGCAGTCATATCCCTTAGGAGGAATGGGTCTCCTGGTGGGTGGGAGGGTTTCATTAGAACCATCACCGTTAGCCCCCAGACCCTCGGAACTTTGAGACCCAACTGCCTCCCTGAGTCTTTGTCCACCCAAGACCTGGAGGAGTACACGGGGACCTGGGGGAAAAACTCCACATCATGCTGTCATTAAACATGTCTGTTACCCACATGTATATGCTGGATTATGGTGGCCTATTTAAGAAAAGGAAGTGGTGGGAGGGAGGGTGATTTACAACCAAGTCCCAGGGGGATGCAGTCATGGGAACCCAGAGCAGGGAGGTGTGATCAGGACAGCTGGAGAGGAGAGGAGGAAATGACAGAGAGGTCCTGGGGAGAAGACTCCTCTTTCTCAAGGACTGGACAACTGCAGGATGGGGAAGTGGGTTTCCACTAGCAGAATACTTAGAAGATAAAGAACATCAAAGACAGGTAGGAGAGCAGGGACCCTGCTTTCCTACACCAAAAGCGTGATCCCAAAGTATTTTCCTATCGCTTCTCAGCCTTTTGGCTAAGATCGAGTGTCCAAAGTATTTTCCTGTCACTCATAGCTAAGGGTGATGGTCCAGATCAATAGTTTGAACAATGAAATATTGGCCTGTGGGAAACCTTTCTATGTATTACAGGACAACAGAATAAAACTCAGAGCCATCTAGTTCCAAGGCTGCTCAGTTAAAAATCCCCACTCAAATGTGCTCATCCTGACAAATGGGCATTCCTCAGCTTCTGCCAGGACACCTCTAATACCAGGGAGCTCATTACCCCAGGAGGAGCTCGTTTCTACCTCATAGAATTCAGATGGGTAGAGAATGAGCTTTCTCTATATAATGCCTGACATTTCTTCCCCATAAAATTCCTGCATTGTTCCTAGTTTTGCCCTTTGGATACACATTGGTTAACATGAAATAGACACAAGGAGACAGTTATCATGTGCCCCTTCTTTCACAGACCCCTCTGCACTGCCTCTTCCCACTCCACCTGGGGCCTTTTCTCTTTCAAAGATTACTCGAGTGACACGGTTGCAATTCCATTCCACAGGCCCTGACTGCATGCCAAGTGTGTACAGTGAAGCATGGATCTCCATGTTGTGATGGGTATAGGACACATCTTTGTCTTCTGAGGGTCTTCAGAGTCAACACATGAAAGTCAACTCATGAACTTACAGCCAGAAATGTATGTCAGTTAGCAACTGCTGTGTAACAAACTCCCTCAAAACTTGATGACTGAAAATAACCAATTATTATTGTTCTCTTGACTATGGGTCAGCTGGGTGGCTCTGTTGCTCTGTGCCATGCCCAGCCAAGCACAACTGGGGCCACTCATGCATCTCAGTCAGCTGGCGGGTTGGCTGAGGGCTGGCTGTTGGCTAGCTAGCTATTGGCTGAAGTGACATAGGTAGTTGGGACATCCTGTAGCAGGGGTAGCCTACGCTGTTCTCATAGCACCTGGGCAGGGTTTCAAGAGAGCAAGTGGAAATATGAAGGCCTCAAGACTGAGACCCAAAACCATCACCCATCAGCTACCACATTCTATCGGCCACAGCAGATCACAGGCCAGCCCTGACTGAGGGGCCGGAGAAATAGATGCCTCCCTTTGATAAAAAGAGCTGCAAAGTCACATTGTGAAGGATATGGCTATCAGAAGGGGTGGAAAAGGGGGCTTTTTTTTTTTTTTTACTACACACAGGTGAGAGTGTAAGCCATAGCAAAAAGATGCCCCTTGAACACATTATCTAGAGAGAACACTAAGACAATGAAATCAAGGAGAAAGAAGTGGGTTCTTCTTGGTTTTCCAAATTGAAAATACTTTTCTTTCCAATTATGACAATAAAATTGGACTCCCATATAATCCATTCACAAAACCCGCCTCTCTTAGGTGCCATCACGCTATTAGTTTCTCACCTTTGCTACTAGGGGAACTAACCAGAAAATAAGAAAACACTGTATGTGTAAAATCCTGTGAACTTAAATACATGAAAGGGCCAAGGCAGAATGTGGGTGAAATGGAAATAATGTACGGAAGCTGACCCAGAAGCAGCCTCTACAAAGTGGACACATTTTGAGGGTTCCCAAGTCTCCCTCTTCCCTCATCCATGGGGCCACAGTAATAGGATACTGGGAGCCATGTTTTCATGCTGTAATCCCTCCCTCAACATTGATTGGACAAGAAGTGGACACCTGACCCAACTAGACCAATCAGATTGTTACTTGCAGGAACTTGGAATTCTGGGTAAGAGAGAATCTAGTCAGTCTCTTGTGGGATCTTGGGAACTAGGACCGGTGGGGTCTGGGGACTGAGAAGCAGAAAAGGCTCCGAGGAGAGGGAAGAGTAAAGCTGGTGCCCAGAGCAAGCAGGGACAGGAGGGAGAAGGAGAGGCTCCACTCAGCGCAGGCTTGGCTGTGAGCCTCACGTTATTAGGAAGTCTATCTCCTTACAAAAGTACCCTTTTTTGCTTAAGTTGTCCCGAGTTGGGTTCTTACTGTAAACAAGAGGGGCTAGGTGCTACAGGCATAAAAGGGCAAAGGAGCATAAGTTGGTGGGAGGTCACAGCAGCTTGGGGGGGGGCCCTGAAAGAGTTGGGGTGTCTGAGAGCCATGGGCAGTGAGGCCGGGTGCTGGTCCCTGGGTGGACCACGAAAGGCCTTGAAGAAGGGTGGACATGGTTTAGGGATAACTGCACAGCCTCAAAAATGTGGGGTGGGAACTACTGTGAACATATTATGTTCCTCCTGGAGAAGGAGGAAGTGGGGCTGGGGGTGGGAGCCCAGCTGAAACCCTCACTCTCTGTGCCACCCAGCTCTGATTTGAAGCCTAAAAATGTAAAATTTCTGTTTGTAACACAAAGCAATAAAACACAACCAAAAAATCAAAGGCAAAAAAGAAAAAGTAGAGAAAAGAAACAGTACATGATAAGAAGCATATTATGATTAACGCAGCAAGCATTCTTAAATCCTCAGGGAAATAAACTTCACTAGGAAAACAGGCAAAGGATATTGTCCAAAAAAGAAATAGAAATGGCTCAAACGCTTGAAAAAGAAATTCAACCTTTAATAATAACAGAAGCACGTTTAAACCAAGATCCCACTTTTCACCTATCAAACTGATAGACTCTCTTTTTCAAGATAGTTCTTTGTACTAATGAGGGTGTGGGAACCTGGCTCACCCACACACTGACAGTAACTGTCCGGACACAGTGTGGGACAATCTCAAGCCATTTGTCCAGGGTAGCGATATGGGCCGTAACCCACCAAGATCACCTGTGCACCTCTTCAGTGACAAGGGCTCACCCTCCAACACCACATCTGCAGTTCTTACCTGCAGCCTCTTTCTGACTTTTAAAGTCCCCTTTGTGGCCAATGGGAAGTTGCAGGGAAATTCATACCACCTGTGAGCTGGTCCAGCCAATCACTGACAGAGACAAATGCTCGAATACCCAACAGCCTTGCTACTCAGGTGGGGTAAGTCTGGCATGTATTTTCTCCACTGGCTCCCAGAGTTATCCAGTAGAATGAAGCTCCAGTTGCCTCCAAGAGAGCCAGCTCTTGGAAACAATCACCCCTTCTCATTCCGAGATTGCCCCATCCGTGTGTCCTTTACTTCCCAAATAAACTCCTGGCCCTTACTTGAATCCTCGCCTCAGGGAAACCCAAACTGTGACAACCAGCAATTTGTTGTAAAGCACTTTCCCATAGAAATAATCATGAATATGTGCAAATATCTACTAGGATGTTCAAGGAGGACTTTTTAAAAAATAAATATCAATAATTAAAAATGGAATCCACCCAAAAGTTGTGGTTAAATAAGTCCTGATATATCCATGCAATAGAATACTCCTTGGCCACTAAAAATGAATTAAATATTATACAAAAAGACTGGGGGAACATTCATTATAGAGGGAAGTGAAGAAAGAATGTTAGAAACTACTAGGTGTATTTGGTATATCTTCAATATTTTATAAGCATATGTATTTGTCAAAATAGTACCAGTGGTTATTTCTGGGCAATATAAAATTACTGGCTCTTTTTTTTTCTTGTATGTGTATGTGTGCACATGCAACGAATGTATGTGCAGTTGCCAACCTCTATATTTTTGAAATTTTCTGTCATAATCATGCATTACTTTTGTAATTAGAAAATGAAATATAACAATAAATAAATGTAACACCAATGAAGAGAAAACACCTACAAATATAATTTATATTAATTTATTAGTATAATTTTAATTGTGGGAAACATCAGAGAAAATATACTGGGTTTTTATCAAGTTCAGATCCGTCTGACACAAGCAAGATTATCCTCTCAAACATACCACCCAGCAATTTTATAACATCATTCTTTTCCCCCAAAGTAAGAAATCATACACTGTCCCCAACGTACTCTAAGCCCTTCATTCAAGTATGCCCTGAAGATACAAAACTTCCCTGTTTTAAACACACAAGATTGACATCTGTGAAGTCTGATCATAAATGAGAACCCACCATTACTGGTGAAGGTACCCATCACAAGCCAGATGATGAGGTTAAAACTGCTATCCCAGGTGGGGGCAGCGGTGGAACCACCTTTGTGTCCTGTGCTCTCCAACAAGCCACATTTCTGAGCAAGAAAAGCCATGCAGAGTGCCCACCCTCTCTGCAACTCATTTGAAAGTTGACAAGTGTAAACCAGATTAAAGATACCAAGGTGGCAGGATACGCATTCAAATACCCTTGCTGACTAGCAATTGGATTAAAAAACCACTCTGGGAGTGACTAATTTATGCAAAGCATTTCCTTAATAAAATGATTTTAACACTGATTCTGTTTTCAAGTTTGGAATTGACCAGAGAACGGATCAAAATTTCACCTTACTTCCCACCCACTTCTCACTGTGCCTTGGATTTGTGGGCTTTCTTAACGTGCCCTTGTTTTCCAAAGCACTTCCGGAAACCGCAGGCACAACATTTAAAGGTGACAAAGGCCGCAGTCACCACCACCGCCAGGAGGAAGCCAATCACGTCCAAGGAGTGGTACTGGTACCAGGTGAGGTCGTGGGCTGCGGGGCGCAGGTGTGGCGCCCCCTTGTGCCTCATCACGAACTCCACCCAGAACACGGCCAGGTCCAGAGGCTCGACGGGGCGGTCCTTGTGGAGGCTGGAGAGGCGCATGATGTTCTCCTTGTAGCTAAACACAAAGACAGTTGCGTTATGCCTGGGACTCCTGTCGTAATGAGCGACTCTCGGTTTATGTTTGCTTCCGCTAGGAATGCTACCAGGTGTTCCAAACTTAGTAGAGGAAACGTATTTCTATTATAACCAGAGAGGAAAAAAACATACATGCACACACACTCTTAATAAATGAGACAGAGCCCCCCAAAAGAGAGAGGGAGAGAGAGAGAGAAGGAAAGGAAACAGACACAAAGCAAGGAGAACCCGAACAAAAAATGTTAAGGCTAAAAATAGGAGAACCCGGATTCCAACTCCCACCCCCACGCTTTTAGTGATATTTGTGTGGGAAATCAGATTATACTTTCTTTATAGCAAAATGAAGAAAAGAAAAATTCATGGCAGAAATTATGAATCGTCTCCCATTTGCAGTTGTAAACAATCACACCTAGCAAAGGAAAAGTGCCAACTCCAAGGTGCTGCTACACTTTCAGTTCAGTCATCGAAACAGCACACCACTTTAGCATGAGGCTGTGTCTATGCAGCCTGTTAATCCAAAATGGATTCCTGTTTATTTTGGACAGTGCTCACAGTTGAATCGGAACATCTAAATCCCCAGAAGTTAGCTACTTCAACCCTTGGTGCAGATGCACTAGAAGAAGGAAGAGAAAGAGGAAGGGAAAGAGAAAGAGAAGAGGGCAAAAGAGGAGTAGAAGGAAAAGAAAAGAGAGAAGAAAGAAAAAAAGAATACACTTCTATTCACTACTATGATCAATGCAGTCCTTAAACATATCTGTTATTTGGTTTAGAAACATTATTATAATGTAGTATTAGTATTTGGCCATAAATCATGTTAAACATCTTCATTTTATATAAATCTTTTCTTAAGATAGATTTTCTTAGAATTTTCAGTGACTCATTCAATATTTATTGAGCACCTATTATGGCCCAGGCATCTGCATAAACAGCTGTTTGAAAATTCCCATTTCTCTCTATTTTGTGTAGGTACAGTCCCAGCTTAGAGTTCTGGAAACATGGTGATCCACAGTAAGATAGAGATGGCTCGAAAATGAATAGATGAAGTAAGCTAGCAACTTCAGCTGATTGATTTGTGTTTTAAAAAAATAAGATACAAAAGAACTGCTACCAAGTCATTTTTGTGTTACAAGTAGTTATCTATACTGCTGAACACAGTATCAAAATTATATTAATAATGTGAACCTCAAGAAGGAGTTTTGTCAGCACATGGAGAAAAGCTGGGTCCTAATGGTCTTGATGTGTGAGCAGCACAGCGTGGCTCTGAGACCGTCAGAGCAGACGCTGGAGGGACGGGATGGGACCCACACCACCCAGCACCCTGGGCACCTGGCTCTGAGGTCATGCGGACTTTTCCCTTTTATCCAGTGGCACCACACACAGAGTAACCCCTCAAAGGCTGGAAGTCAAGCATCAGTTCTCCCCGTTTGCCTCGCCCCATCCCAACACACTCCAGCTTTTCCCATCTGTCCTCCCAACCGCTGCCCCTCTCTAAAGGAAGTAACCATGGGAGAGGGTGCCCGACACTCTCACAGACACATGTGCACACACAAGTACATGCATGCACAGGTACATGTGTCCTCCTCTTCTTCCACACACATACATGTGCACATGCACACACACAACAAATGCACATGCATGCATGCACATACTATGGTTCAGTGAAATCCATCACTGGCCATCACTTCTTCCCATAAGGCTTGAATCAACCTATTAGCAGTAAGCAGCGTGACAGTAATGCACTCAATTTCATGCACAGATCGCTTGATCCGATGACTTTTGCCTTCTGAACAGTTTTCAGGGCCACATTTGGAGAAATTTGCCTTTGCTTTTATTCTAAGCCTTTGTGATATCTCGTGATTCCCCCATTTGTAAAGCCCAGGGACAAAACTTCTCACAGGTTCTAGTGTTGGGAAAAGCTGTGCTTCTAAGCTCCTGGATTTTTCCTTATCTTATGGACACCATGCTTCTTAAAGTGGAATATTTCTTTCTATGCAGAAACTTATAGATCAGATGTCTATATTGGTGACTTTTTTTTATAAGTTGTAGTTTTAAATTTCCCAGGGAAATAAAATTTTAAAAAATTATACAGGAACTAAAGGATCTTTTTATGTAGTAAATAATAATAATAATCCCCAAATTATCTTATGTATTAAGCCCAGACTTTTAGATTTTTTTTTCATATTTGAGTATTTTTCATGAATGCTATGGCCGAAGTACAGGAAGTAATTTTCCATACATTCTCTCTTACCTTTTGTCATTGATGACTGTTTTTAGGGCATTTTCTAAATCTGCAGAAGTCATTTCAAGGACATTCAGGGTCACTCCAGCGCCCCTAGTCTCCATGCGCTTCGCATTGTCCATCTGATCACCGAACAAGGGCATCATCACCATGGGCACGCCATTGCAGATTCCTTCATAAATACCGTGGGAGCCAGAATGGGTGATAAAGGCACGAGTCTTCGGGTGACCTGAGATGCAAAATAGGGAGGGGTGCCAGCGGTTCAGGAGTCGTGATGAGTTCAGGTGTGACGGGGTGTCATGGTTCTGAAAGTAGGCCGTGTAGAGGACTAAGTGTCATCAGATATTGGGCGGCCGTTAGCAGAATCTGCAGGCAAGGAAACTTGTGGGTGATACCGCTACGTAGATAAAAGCAGCAATTGTAGGATATGTTGGCCATAATATTTCCAAGCTAAACAATTCTTTAGAAAGTTTGTGTTGGCCAGGTGGTGGTGTGCTACACTGTAATCTAGCGGAGGGGCACTCGGAGCCGGAGGCGGCGGATGTGCTCAAGGTCAGAGTTCGAAACCTAGCACGCGTGGAGGAAAGAGCAAGACACGGTTCTCTACTATAGAATACCAGAAAGAAAGTTTAATTGGCCAAAAATTATATAAGAAAAAATTAGCCGGGCATGGTGGCGCATGCCTGTAGCGCAGCGTTAATGGGAGGCTGAGGCAGCGCGCAGGATTTTTTGGTTTGGCTTGAAGCCAGAGATTGAGGTGCGGGAAGGCGATAGGGATGACGCAGGGCACTCACCTAGCACTGGCACAAAAGCGAGGGACTCTGCGTCCAGAAAAAAGGAAAAAAAAGACAGGTTTGCCTTAGCATTTCTTAAGTGTACCGCTGTTTGACTGTAATTATCAATGGGCGCAACATACCAAGCAGATCATTTGGGTACTACTGGACAGGTATCGGTGTTGGTTTGGAGATTGAGGCGCGAGTTCAGTGGTAACGCACCCAGGGACCTTGCCAGGGCGAAAGAACAGAGTTAGAAGTTAAGGAGAGTAATATTGTTTGTAAAGAGAATGACCAGTAGGTTAGTGCTTTGAAGTGAGCGCGTGAACATGAATAGAACTGTAGCAAGAGTTGGGGAGGTTTAGGTAGCTAAGGAAGGCTTCGGGGGCTGGAAAATTGCCGTGATGCCTTGGTTGGAGGCGGTTGGACTAGTATGAATTGTGTGAAGAAGTTCACGCAGAAGCCGAGGCTGATTGATTTTTTAACTTTTCTGCATGTTAGAGGGAAAGTGTTTGTAAAAAGAGTGGGATGAAAAAACGTAGAAAGGCAGAAAATAAGAAATAAATCGCAGAGCACGCTGACGCAACATGCGTTTTTGAGAGAAATATTGTAGTTTAATAGGGAAGAGAAACAGATACCTGTTTATTTTATTTGCAACGATGAGATGCGGTTAATAGCACTTTCGAGATTCTTCAGGAGAAAAGATGAGGACTCCCAGGTGGAGGTGGACTACTGGTTAAACGAATATTGAGAGTTAAACTGCAAAAGAAAGAACCTTGCATGAATAGCTGGGAAGTGCCAGAGAAAACCCCAAATCTCCGAGTTTCCAACAAATGAGAAGTCGTAGATATGGCGAGTTGGGTTGGAAACTCCTGGAAAGATAGAAATGAAGAAATGGGATAGAATCTTCGTGTACGCGAGCTGAGGTATATGGCCGAAAGCGATCACAATATCCATAGCTTTCTTCTCTGGAATCTCTGAGACCATTGATCCCAAAGAGAAAACCACAATTCCATGTTCTCCAGAAGCCTTTATGTAAGCTGACAAATTAGGAGCAGAAGAGAAAATTTCCAGTTAGGTTTTTTCATCATGATTCTTTGGGTGGTACTAGTGGATAGATTAAAACGATGGACAATTAGGGGGGTATTTCTTTGTGGGATGTTTAAAAGGTGTTGTTGTGAAGAGCAAAGAAAAGTGAAGTTTATAGTATGTCTGCCTCGGCGTTAAGCGCTTGGCGTAAGGAGGCGAGGGCTTCTTGCTCGCAGGGTTTTCTGTTCTTCCTTGAGATGCAGAATCCAGATAATGTGCGGATTTTCCAGAAAGTTGAAAGATAGACGCATGATGCCCGTGTGTGTTCGAGCGCAACACCAACCAACCACACACACAACCACCACACACAGTGGTAACTCACTCTTAGAGGTAAGCAGCGAGAAATTATGTAATTGTTTCCCAACTGTAGATTATTAGCGATCTCATTTACATGACCCCCCCCCCCTAAGAGTCTCCAGAATAGGTCTTTGGCATTGTTCCAGAGATTACCGAGGGCACTAATAAAATCGTGTGATGTAGTAGGGCCTGCCCCGAACTGAGGCGTTCCCTGGGACATGGGACTTCCGGTGCTAAAACCTAGACAGTTCTGGCCAAACCAGGACATCGGTACCGTATGGGGATGTGAGAGTATAAGCGAGACTTCTGACAGGGCTCAGCATACACGGTTTGAACAGCAGGACTCCTGCCAAGCTCGATTTGGGACACGACCAGGAAAGCCAAGCAGGGCAGCAGCCCCGCGGGCGAGCCCACTGTCCCACCCACCCTCGCCTGGACCCAGCCCGCTCAGGCCGCGCCTGGGGTGGCATAAGCTGTGTCTGGGGCTTCCACTGGGGTCCATGCTGAGAGGCAGAGCCAGGGCAGCATTTCTGCGGGCCCCACGCGGTGCTTTGGGTTCGGTGGCAAGGGGAACATCAGAGGACGGTGTTTTCTGAGAGTCGCGCCCTCCTTGGCGGTCCAGCACGCCGACATTCCCTTGGCCCTCGCACGTCTCCTGGGGGGGAGACGGTCGGTGGCCCAATGCTTTAAGCTCTTCGAGCAGAGTGATGGTAAACGCGTAGCCTACACGGCCGGGACCCTCGCTATCAGGAAACCCGAAATTTCAGGCACTCGCCCTGGCAAGCCTGTCTGGGAAGCACAGCGGCGGGCGAGACTATTTGCCCTCCTTGCACACCCTCCCACACACACTCAGCAGCCAGCAGGACGTGATGCGCACAGAACTGAACCCGCAGGCCCACAAACACCCAAAGCTAAATAGCAGGACGTCGCTAAAATTTAAATGGCACGGAAGTTCATCTACGGATCTCCGGGCCAAAACGGTGCAGAAGGTGTGGTGTAGCTGTGGCAAGCCCGGACCTGGGCCACCTCACCGGACCTCCAGTTAGGTGAGGTCCATCCCCTGCTTGGCAAAACTTGCCCTAAACCTCACCCCCACTTCACAGCCCCTGGAATGGCCAAAGAGTGACGAAAGGTGTTGACTGGAAATAACCCTCGGTTCCCCACCATTGGCCCCCTTCCAAGAAGTGGGGGACCCACCTGAGGGAAAGGATTTCCCCACTCTGGTGAGACTTCCTCACTCAAGATGAGGCCTTTAAAATAGCTCCTAAGTTTTACTGAGAGTTCATTATCTTTAGTTCAGGCTTTTTATTAGATTTTTCCTTCCCTAATATCTATCGTTTCAGAATCCTCAGTTGGCACTTAGACAACGCACTGGGCAGCTGTCACTTCATCGTCATGTGCTCTGAGTGCCCACACGTACTTCCCAAACTTCCTTCTCCCCACCATCTCCAAGTCTCCGTCCTCACAGACCTTCAGTTTGGCTATTTTTCTCACACCCAACGTGCGGCTATCACGGCTGAATCGCTGCTAGCTCCAGGCATGGTCTCTCATCCTGCCAGGGGAATGACATCTTGGAATTCTTGAGTTTCATTTCTTTTCTCTTACTGTCCTTCCATTATCTTTTTTTCTTTCAGACACACCAAAGACATGTCCAATGCCCAGTCCTGCTTTCTCTATGGACTTTCTTTATGGAACAAAGGTTTTATCTTTATTCTTAGAGTGCAGGACTTTTGCCAAGAGTGTTGAGGATAGGGCCATCACCACTAGAGGAAGGGAAGTGCAGAGGAGCTCTTTAATTAACAAAGGGGAAAAGAGAAAATAAGTCATAACTTGACCAACCAGCAAAATTCAGGAAAAGGGAAAATGGCAAGCTAAACATAAAATAAATTGGGAGCTTTACTATCAAATCTATCAATTTTTTATATTAAAACAGGCAAAATTAACATATTAAAGCAATCTTTCTGACCAGATTAAAAATATCAGCTCTGAGCCAGGCATGGTGGCTTACACCTGTAATCCCAGTGACTCGGGAGGCTGAGACAGGAGGATCACTTGAGGCCAGGAGTTCAAGACCAGCTTGGGCAACAGAGCAAGACCCTGCCTTTACCAAAAATTTTAAGAAGTTCACTGGGCATGGTGGTGCATGCCTCTAGTCCCAGCTACTCAGGAGGTTGAGACGAGAGGACACTTGAGCCCAGGAGTGAAGGATTCAGTGAGCTGTGGTCATGCTACTGCACTCCAGCCTGGCCATAAAGTGAGACCCCATCTCTTAAAAAAAAAAAAAGCTCCCTGTTGTTTAAAAAGAAAAAAAAAAAAGAAGAAGACAAGGGACAAGGAAGGGGCACTAAAGAGGTACTAGGGAAATGTAAACAAAATTAATACAGGAGTGGCGATATTAATATCACAAAAGTGGAATTTCAGATTAAAACATTAAATAAGAAAGACAAAGAAGGTTACCATTAGGTAAGATTTTGGAAAGTCCCAGGAACAATATTTTCACACCTAAGCCAGTTTGCACCAAACAAGGCATCAACCAACATGTAGTCGATACAATTCACCACTTAGACAAATTTATGAGGGAAGGGGTATGATTATATCAATAAATGTTAGAAAGACAATTGATAAAGTTCAGCAGCCTCTAAAGAAGAAAATCATTTAAATCAATAAAGACTATTTGCTAGAAAACAATGGCAAACATAATGCAAAATTATGAAATAAAAATCATTTTCCATTAAAATCAACAGCAGCACAGGAATCCTCATGTTTTTAGAGATTCTAGTGAATTCAATAGCACTCATATTTGGCATGGAATTTACAACAAAAGATACCAAAATTCCTTTATCAGCAAATGACTGTGTGCTAATTTTTTTTGAAGTATGCAAATAAGTATTTTGGAGGGATGGCTGAACAGTGAATCAATAATCAGCTAGATATAGAAATGGGAAAAATACACATTCCAAAAACTGCAACACACTTAAGAAAAATAAGAAAGAAACAGAATATTAAGAAAACCACAAAATGTTTGATATTTGTTAAGGTAGTGTTTGAAGTCACAACAATAAAAAATCCTGGAGTACAAATTTTAATGTTCCTCTCTGGGGAACTAGATTAGATAGCTAGCAGAATAAACCTTGGTACACAAATACCATGAAATACTATGAAATACTTTGATGTACTATTTCGTAGTTAAAAAAAATAAATAGGTACAATATTTAGAACTGGAGTGATATCCATGACTTATTGGTAAGTGAGCAGTCGGGATATATTGTTACCCTGTTATGTAGAAAAAGCAAGAACAAAATTCTGTATGTGTATATATGCTTGTATGCAATTGTAGGAGTATAAAGAACTGTTAGAGATTACTATCTATCCAGTAACTAGCCCCCAGTTCACACCCCTTTTTTCTCATTCATTCATTTAATAAACATTTGGCGAGCGACTAATATATGCCTTAGATGCTGGCATTTATGGGACACTAAGCACACGCAGACCCATTGGCAGGTATTGAGGACGCAGCACACGGCAGACATGATTAACACAAAGTTGCGCACGCCCCCACGTGGCTCACGCTGTGGAGCAGACAGTCCCTGAACAATTATCTAAACGATAAGACTGCGGTACCAGATATGCTGGGAAGGCAACTGCCCAGAATGCTGTGTTCCAGAGGACCACTGCGAGAGGAAGTGATGTTTAAACTGACCCGAAAAATGAGAAGGCAGACCCGCAACAAATTCAGGGAACAGCATCCCAGTTGGAAGAAGCAGCATGTTCAAGGATCCAGAACTGGGTAAGATTTTGGAATGTCTCAGGAACAGACAGAAGGCCAGTCTAACTGTGGAAGGTCCGTGTAGCTCTGTAGACAAGTCCTTCCGTTTCTATTGGAAGTTCCATCATGCATGCATCTCTCCAAAGGTTTAAATTTCAAAATGAATGTGAGACACAATTGTTTTCTTTCAAATCCTTCATAATGATGCCAAAACTATTTCTCTTTAATGCCTTTCTAATTCAGACATACTGACTAGATTTCTTTCCTTTGATCTGAGATATGCCCATTGGTTTGATGATACTTTACCTATTGCTTTTCTTCTCTCTGCAAGAGAATCATTAATGGTTTTCTATACTGTCAGGTTTTTGCATCTTGCTTTTAGAAAATCAGGAACACTTTCTTCTTTCTTAACCAGTCGACACTATCAAACACACACTTGTCCAACAGGCCATGGAGCATCAGAATCTTAGAGCCAGGAGATTTTGGAGGGTCATCACATCCCGCTCCACACTATAGATGAGGACTCAAAGCCCCACAGAAGGAGAATCTGGTCACACGGCAGTGGGGTGCAGGCATCAACCTGCTGCCTCTTTTCTCACTTGTTGTTCTTTCTGCCACCCCAAATTTCTCTTTGCCATGACAATTACATGATCATTTAAAATATGAATTGCATTGGAAGAATGCTGGAAATAAGGTCCAGTGCTCTCAAAGGATGATAGCAGTCCTTTAGCAGGAGCCAGACTCAGCACCTGGGCAGTGCCTGGGCTACCAGTAAGTCCTCAGCCGATCTTTGAAGAATAAATGAATGAATGCCCACTAAAATGTCACCTCCTTGGAGAGCCCTTCCCTAACCCTCCACGTGGAGGAGTCTCTCCTATTACTCTCTGT